CAATACAGTGACTTCAGCAGAGAATTTGGCCAATAGTTTTGAAGCCACAATACGTGAAAGAGCAAAGCGTCTTACTGTGCAAGGCGCTTGTTCAGGCTCCGTGACGTGCATCTTTCCTCACAGTTCTGCCCCACAGCAGTGTCCTGCACGCTAGCTCCCTCCCCTCTCAGGGAACCCCACCCCCAATACCCACCTTGTCGTCATCTAGCCCCTGCCTCCGGGGCCAAATGGCCACTCATCATTGGCAAAGGGATGTGAACCTGCCTATTCCTGCCCTGGCTGCCTCCCTGCAGCCTGAGTACCCCTCAGGCCTTGCCTCAGGCCCTGCAGCCTGGGAGTTGAGTCAGGCTAGATTCCCCAACTCTGCCTGCCTTTCCCCAGCCTGGTTCTGTCTCAGGTACCCTCTGTAGCATCACAGGCAGACAGGCCCTTCCTGCTCCACAGCTGGAGCAAGAGTGGTTTTTCCTCCTCTCCAGGAGCCCCTATATATACAGCCCCAGCTGGGCTCTAATTGGCTGCTATCAGCGTTTCCTGTAAGCTGAGTGCTTGGGTGGCCACGCAGGAGATTCAAATGCCACCCCCAGTGTCCACAGCCACTAGCATGTTTTTTTCCTGGTGGTGCACATCCGCACATGCCTCAGTGCTCATAATATTTATTCTGCACATGGATGGAAAAAATTAGTGGGAACATTAGCTGCTACTTGCCTCCGCTGCTTACACCAGGGTCCCAACCCTCTCCCAGAGTGAGGTTTGACCCTTCTCTCACCTGGAGCGGGGTGATCACCCCACTACAAACAGATTTAAGACTTGTCTGCATGGCCCCACAGCCTAGTCTATAGGAGTGTGAACAGGAGTGGATTGGCCCGGCGGGATACTGGGAATTTCCCGGTGGGCCGTCGTGTCTGCACGCTGTTGCTCCTAACTCCAAGTGGCTCCGTGTCCATGCTGTATGTGGTATGCAGAGCCCGACCCACTGCTTGCACTACGTGCCCGACATGATGCAGGGGGCGGGGCTTGAGAGGCTCGCAAGGGTGATACCAAGGTGAGGGCCATTCTCAACCCATTTCCCGGGCCTACTTTGATTGCCAGTCCGCTCCTGAGTGTGAATTGCAAAGTGCTATAATGTGTGTGACCATTTGCATTTCCAGCCTGCGGTTCAAGACAAGCACACCTAAGACTTCCTCATTCCTTATTTCAATTTCTGCTCAGTGGTATCTGTCTTTAGCAAAGATGCTGGTAAGACTTTGCTACAAGGGCTCGTCTTGTGCCTGGTGTAGCCAACAAAGGCAAGTTTTTACACGAACACTTACTTTTTGTACATACCTGCTGGAATGGATTGGGTTGCACGCGGTTCAGGGTGTCTATCTGGAATTCCCGTTGTGTTCACTTACATCCAGTGTCGCAAATCCCTCTGTGGTGGAACATTGGTTGGTAAATGCAGTAGAAGATCTGACAAAAAATTCTTTTTCCCTCCTGCAGCATCATCCGTGTCTTGTCTACCAGCTGTGTGTTCACGCATGAGTTTTGCTTTTGTCATTCTTTGCCGTTTGTGCTGAGACAAACACTTTTTATTTTGGCCAAATGGCTGCTTTTATTGCACGCGTGATGATGTAGCCACAGAACTGGGACATCTGTTGTGTTGCGATTGCCATCCTATTTATTACACGTAGATCTCGAGTCTTCCATTTTAGTTAGCCCTGGGTTCTAGCTCTCTGTGTTGGTGTACAGAAGGACTTTGGTTCACTAATTGCTAAGGGTAAGTCTAGACTACACACTTCTTTCAAAAGAGATCGTCTAGACAGCCACAACTTTTTTCGAAAAAATTTCAAAAGAGAGCACCCAGACAATCTGGATGCTCTCTTTCAAAAAAGGCCTGTTTGCGGTCAAGAATGCTTTTTTTCGAAGGAGCTCTTTGGAAAAAAAGGCATTCTTCCTCCTAAAATGAGGTTTACCATTGTCAAAAAAACCGCCACTTTCTTTTGGTTTAATTTTGAAAGAACGCAGCGGCAATCTAGATGCAGGTGAAGTTTTTAAAAAAAAAACCTGTAGTCTAGACATAGCCTAACACTGTCCCTGATCAAATATCAGTTGAAGGGGCGGGCGGGGGGAGGGAGGGGGTAGCACGCTCCACTGACTGCAATGGATTTTTGGGTCTGAACCTATTTCATTTAGAAAACACACAGTTTACTCGTCCTATACATACCCAGGCCTTTTGGCAAAGTCAAGTCCATTTTCTCACAATACCCTTGCTTTGAACGTCATATCAGTTATGTTCTCCGACGAGCCTGTTAACTGTGCATATTTGCAGGCTGGCGCTTTACTATGCAGGACTGTAACACAATAGTCAAGGGTGCCATCTGGCAGTTGCTTTCTCAAAGGAAAGATTTGTTGTCGACAAGTCACATTCTTGCGCAGATCAAAGTGTTCTTCAAATTTCGGAATGGTTTTGTCTCACAGCTTTCATTCGCCTCCATGTCCCCATTGGAATGCATTGTCGTTCTGCAATGCTTCTGTGCACGTGATAGATAGCAATAGGGAGAATTTCACCCTCTTCCATCTCCCAGTTTTCAGGAACTTTTCATAGGTTTACCTTCACCATGCCTGGTTCTCTGGCAGGTGCCCTTCAAAACCAAGGGATTTGAGTGGTTTCATTTGCTCCCTTTTTGCCAAAGATTTTGTTTTCTTCTGACACCATGTAACCAAAGTAAGATGGGTGAGTTCTGGTAAGACGCTAGCTTTGATTACCTCTCCACAAACATGCAACAGTGATCAGTTCACAAAAGGTTAACACTCCTAGTTACATGATAACAGTCAGTATGCACTGACTCTTACAGCTACTGTTACATCCCATTCTTTTGTTCAGACCCTGATTATACATGTTCAGTCCATCCATTCGGGCACAGAGAGTCGCTGCAACGAACCAGTAATCCATAGGCTCAAATTTGTTTGAGTAAAACATTCAACAAACGTGTCGCAAATAATTACGTGTCACAATCACATGAATAAACGCGACACTCCAGGCATATGGGGGTAGCTCATGAGCATTGAGAAGGGCTGAAAGATGTATTCATTTGAAATTGTACGCACCGTTCTAATTTTAACTCACGAGCCAGTCTGGAGAATCCATCTGCCATTAAAATATATTCTTCCCACTCAGTGAGATAAGCCAACGGTTTCCAGTATTTTATTAGAAATTGCCTAGAACTAGTACATTGGGGGTAATTGGAGTCTTGGCATTGGCTCCTTTTTGAATGTTTTATGATCCAATTAAAACTACTTGATAGAAGTTAGTGCTGCCTGGCTAGGAGTAAGGGAGGGTTACAGCAAATCTTGACCGAACAGGACATGTCCAGACCCAAGCTATCTTTATTTTAGAGTCAACATTTGAAAAACATGTCAGAGCTGTAACAAGTTTTTAGTGATCTGAAGGAAGTGGCAAGCCAAGATGCGCATGTTTCTAATGTTCCATAGATTGAGCTCTGCATTCCAGAATGTGCGCTACATCATACTTAGTGAAGGTTGTTTTAGGCTTGCGTGTGTGTGTGAACACACACATGTGTCTGAGGACCTAGCCCAAAGTGTTGTGGAAAAGAGTTTCTTGGGCAGAGCTTGTCCACACAGGATGATATACTGGGATGGGATAGTTAACCCAGTAATTACGCTGGTGTAAATTCCCCATGTCGACACGTTAAGACTTTTCTACATGGAAGAATTGACTGGACATAACTTCTCCAGAATAACTGAGCTATTCCAGATTAAAAGTGATTTTGTTACAGAATTACTCTGCTTTCTGATTGGATTTCTTATTCCAGAATGAAGTCATTTTTATTCCAGAAAATGCTCTGGTATAGCTCATTTCACAGTAAGAACACTGGTCATTTTCTCTGTCTGGAAAAGCTTTTAATTGGAATAAAATTGTCCACATAGGGAGTTATATCCATATAATGACAGCACTTGATATTCACTCCCCACCTTACACCTGTAGGACTTCCCTATGTAGGCAAGCCCTAACATCATTTCTCCATAGACATATGCACACACGATTAACTCGAGGTGTATGAGCCGTCCTATTCACTTCATTGGATTGCTTGTATTTAAGCATGTGCATAAGTGATTACATATTCAGGGCCTCAATGATTCTACTACAGTATGTAATCTGAAGTTATCATCTGCCGTGATTTATTTGTATAATAGTGGCGAGGAGTCCTGTAAGGTTCCAGCACTTCAAAGTGATCACTAAAGGTCTGTGCGGTTGCAGTCTTTTATGGGCTAAAAATACAGGGCCAGATTCTGATGCTCTTTCTTACTGCTCGGACAGTCTCAGACTATGTCTACACTGCCGGGGTTTTTTTGGCAGAAGATATGCATCTGACGAAGTGGGTCTTTGCCCACGAAAGCTCATGCTCCAACACTTCAGGTAGGGTACGTCTAGACTACCACGTTTTGTCGACGGAAGTTTTGTCGACAGATACTGTCGACAAAACTTCCGTCGACAAAGAGCGTCCAGACACATTGAGTTCTGTCGACAAAGCAAGCTGCTTTGTCGACAGAACTCCGTAGTCTGGACGCACCCTACAGGCAATAACACCTTCTGTCGACAGAACTCAACAGAAAATGAGGTTTACCAGCGTCGACAAAACTGCTGAGTTCTGTCGACGTTATGTCAACAGAACTCAGCGGTAGTGTAGATGCTGGTATAGTTTTGTCGACAAAAGTCCACTTTTGTTGACAAAACTAGGTAGTCTAGACACACCCTTAGTCTATAAGGTGCCACAGGACTCCTTGCTGCTTTTGCAGATTCAGACTAACACGGCTACCCCTCTGATACTTGTATAATAGTGATTCACATTATTTTTTAAATTCATGGCTGAAATATTAAAGGACAGAGAGATTAAAAATTGATTTTAAAATCAGATTTTTATATTTAAGATAATACATTAATATATTTTTCTTTTTTTTAAAGAAACATATTTGAAATTATGACAATTAAGTAGTGCATGTTTCCTACTGAAGCACTGATCTGATGGAACTAACTAGCTATGCCTCTAACACCAGAGCTTGCTGACATCCTAAACCAATTTTTGCCAGCAGTAACCTCTTCTGCTGGTGCAGATAGACTATTTTCTTCTTTTCAATTTATTCAACCAGTTCAGATCGATGTTAGTTCATTCAAAGATGAGAACCCGATTGGGAGTTGAAAAACCAGGAAAGCTTGTTTTCCTCTTCCAGTCTGTGAATAAAAACAAGGTGTGAGAAAGTGATCTCTACTAGCTCTAAAATCGAGAAGGGCATGGTGACTGGAAACAGTCAATCCAATTCATTAACTACATATAACACACTTCATGCGTCTAGACTGGCAAGATTTTGCGCAAAAGCAGTTGCTTTTGTGCAAAAACTTGCCAGCTGTCTACACTGGCCGCTTGAATTTGCGCAAGAGCACTGACTTTGTAATGTACAAAATCAGTGCTTCTTGCGCAGATACTTTCACGTTCCCGCTTGGGGAAAAAACCCCTTGCACAAGAATACTTGCTCAAGAAGGCCAGTGTAGACAGGGAAGAATTGTTTTGCGCAAAAAAGCCCCAATGGCTAAAATGGTGATTGGGGCTTTCTTGTGCAAAATCGCATCTAGACTGGCCACAGATGCTTTTGCGCAAAAGCATCCGTGCCAATCTAGACGCGCTTTTGTGGAAATACTTTTAACGAAAAAACTTTTCCGTTAAAAGTATTTCCGCAAAATCATGCCAGTCTAGACGCAGCCTTCATTTATTTAATAAATCAGTTAAAAACAAAACTTGTTTTGATAAACTTTATTTCCTATGTATCTAGCACATTTAAGGTACTTGTATTTAACTATCAAAACAATTTTAAAATCCTGTTTTTTGCCTTTTAATTGACTTTCAATTTCCATCAAAAAGTGATATGACACAAATTACACGTAAAAACAATTGTACAATATAACAGCTGAATCAAATATCGTTTTGTAACAAATTAAAAAATAAGAATCAGAACAAATGTAAATTAAACTACATAATTGCCTATATATGCATAGATATGGTGCATTCTTCTGGTTAGCAAAAAGAAATTCCAAATCTAGTGTAAAGTCTATATTTATTTGCAAATTAACATGTTTTTAATGGTTATCAATGTGAATCAACCTTTCTTAGGAATAGAACTAAAAAGTACAAATACAAAACAAGATTACAACTGATGCTTTAAGGGAAGGTTTCCCACTTGCTGATTTGAATTATTAAAATCTCAATTATTTGAACCACTTTGGTTTGAATCAGTCCACCTGCAAAAGGCATGTAACCATTCAGTTCTGCAAACATGCATGCAAGTAACTTTACAGATGAGGACTTCTGTTGTGGTAGACAGATCTTCTTACATGTTAAGCTCGTGCATAAGTGTTTGCAGTATCAGGGCGTGAATATGCAATGTATTAATTATCCTTAATTAAACATGTCTTTCATATAAAGGAGCTTGAATGGAACTTCTAAATTAGTTCGGTATTGAAAATGTTCACAGTGCTTAGGACAAACTTCTCAGCTGGGGGTCAATCAGAGTTGTTCTACTCACTTTAGTGCAGCTATGTTGACATGCACTGGTTGAGAATCTGGTCCATAAATTTTTGTGCAACCTTTCTACTAGCTTTATTACCTTCTCAGGAAGATTTTTTGGCCAAACAGAGGCATATCCTCAGTATTGTATTGGTAACGTTTTGAAGTGAATTTCAAATTTCAGAGTACAGGAGGTCCCAATGTATGATCAGGTTGTGTTCTAAAAGTTTGTTTGTGAGATCTTCACAGAGTGGCAATATATCAGTAAAAATTCTGTGCCATCACCAGCTAAAAAAATAGATTGTGGGTTTGGACGTACGCTACTAAATTCAGCCAGGAAAAAGTCCATGCAACTTCATTCAAAGTCCCTGGGCAAAATTCAGTAGCTCTGTATTCTTTAGTATAAACTATCCATTGGAAGAAAGTAGATTGTAATGTCAGTGTGAATGTAAAAGGCAAAGTAGCATAACCCACAATGATTTGTTATTTGATAGGAGCTAGATTCTCTTTTCACTTACACTCATGTAAATCAAGAGTAACCATAGATTTACTTGAGATCTGTATAGGTAAGAGACCTTGAGTCCTACCAGATGAACTACTAGTTCTTAGGGCAGTTGTTTTCAAACTTTTTTTTCACCACCCACTTGAAGAAGATTGTTGATGCCCATGATCCAACATAATTCTGTCTTTTGACTTCCATGCGGGCTCCAGTGTGGGGCCAGGGATGAGAGGTTTGAAATGTGGGTGGGGAGACCTCTAGGTTTGAGGAGCTCAAGGCTGGGGCACTGGGTTACCTATGATGGTTTCCTGCCTGTCCTGGCACTGTGGGCTTCATTGCACCTTGGAAGTGGTCAGCAGCAATTCTGGCTCCTACGTGGAAGAGTGCATATGGCTCTGTGCACTGCTCTTACCCACAGCCACCACCCCGCAGCTTCCATTGGCCGGTTCCTAGCCAATGGGAATGCAGAGCTGGTGCTTGGGGCGGGGCCAGGGTGCAGAGCCCTGTGGCCTCTCTGCCTAAGATCCAGATCTGCTCCTGGATGCTTCCAGGACACAGCCATGGTCCACGGTGCCAGGAAAGGCAGGAAACCTGCCTTAGCTCCCCTGCTGGTCACCTGGTCACCCTATATCAAGGTGACTCAGTGCCTGACATTCTGTGACCCAGGACTGGGTCGCGACCCGTATGTGCAACATGGCTCAGACGGTATGTGATCAGGATTCATCACCTGCTTGGACGGGGAGCGTGGTGTGAACGAACTCAGTGTGGATTATACCAACTGGCCATTTCAGTCCCAGGAGTCACGCCAGTGTCACTGAGAGAACACTCCGTTTCAGGCCCCCGTGCCCTATTGGGGTTGCAGACTTGTACTGTTTTGTGGGATCAGGAAATAGGGGTCACTCACATAAAGTAATTATGCTGGAGGTTGCCAAAATCCTTCCTTATAACAGAACTGTACTTTCTTGTGCCCTTTCCCCCTCCTTTGTCATTTGGAAAAATCCACCTTCTGCTGTCAGCTAGCCCAGGGAAGTTCCCACAGGCTGCAGCAGGAGTTGCACTTGTATACCTGAGAGGAGAACAATATCTTGGAAGGAGACTAAAACTTGTCCCCAGTAAATCCACATAATTGCCACAAACTCATACCAGGCCTCTCTCTGTGTCTGTACTCTGCCTGTTAATCTGACTCGCAGTGGCTGCTTTAAAGCCCCCTGAAAGCTCAGAAATACTAAAGATGAAAGCTCCCATGCCCACATTGTGGCATTTTCTGAACGTTCACAGACCAGGTCCGTAAAATTGCTGAGAAATCAGATGCTGTCAAATCCTCTCTCAGGGCAGCGCATCTACAAACACACCCAGACACAAACAACTCAGAAAGTTGCCATTTCCAGAAAAAAAAAAAGACGTTGGGGCCAACGTCATTACCTGCTGCATGCATTACGCTTGCCAAAGGCCTGGGTCTGCAACATTGACCCTCCAACCACTGTTTGGAAAATATGTAATCAAGAGTCGCATGCTCAGAAAGGTCAATGGCATAAAAGCGACTGTTGTGCTGATGTAACTGAGTAGGTGTTGAAGATTCTATTATGCTGACAAATATTTAACTGCTTACAACATTTCAGAAATGAGGTGGTTTATTCCCCGTCGGATGTTGTGAGCCTGATTCTTCTTCATAGGGGACTCCTGGTAGCACTTAGTAGCCCCCACCAAAACTGTAATGCTAAATGGGGTGCCCTCGCTGTTCTTCTTTGTGGCTCTCCCTGCACGCCCTCCTCCTACAGGCATCTGTCACTTATGTTCTTGTTTGTGCTACATGTGTAGTTAATAAATTACATATACAGGGCATCCCTGTTAGACATCCATGATAGATTCCAAAAACGTGGATGTATAGCAAAACGACAGAAAGCAAGGAATTTTTCCCCTGTGGCTGATTTCCTTTTGTGCAAATTGAGTTTGTTGGTTTTGGGGCTTTTTGTGTGTGTGTGATGTAAGAACAGGGAAATGGGAGGACTTATAACGCATCAGTTCCTATAAGCATCAATGACGTTAGTGCGGACCCAATATATACCGCGGCGACTTATAGCGGGGACGCTCTGTATGACCATCTTAAGCCCCCTTTCTTTATACTGTCAGAGTGACATAAAGGGGCTTTAGTGTATATGAAAATTCAGGCCCAGGGGTCTGAAATTCCTTGCCCTTCCTTGGGTTTTAGGCTTGTGTAGTTCCCAATAGAGGGCAATTGAGATGAGTCATTGATTGGCTCTGTCTGCACTTTTTACGATTGCAAGTTCCCAGAGACATACCTGTGTTAGCTCTGATGGAGCCAGTGCACTGAAAATAAAATGTATACGGCACGGCACAAGCAACAGGAAGGTTCGACTGACTTAGAATATACCTACCATCTCAGACAAAACTGCCCTCAGTGCGGCTCGCCCCTCCCACCGCTCCCTCAGGTAGTTTCACACCCCCGGCCCACAGTGTAGACACAACGAAGGAACTGAGCGTATCCACACAAGAGTATTGCATCAAATTAACTAAATCTACTTAGAACCTAACTTAGGCCAGGTCTACACTAGACCTGAAAGGTTGGATTAAGGTACACAACTCTAGCTATATCAAATACGTAGCTGGAGTCGGCTTACCTTAAGCCGAGCTTGGCACTGTCTTCACAGAGGGAGCCCAATGGAAACAAACGCTACGTCGGCTTCCCTTGCTCCTCGTGACTGCTGACTGGAGCCGCCCTCAGCATTTGATTTAGTGGGTCTTAACTAGACCCACCAAATCAAATGCCAGAAGATTGATCTCCAGCACAGCCTGTGAAGACATGGCCTTAGTTAAATTGGACCAGGCCTAATGCCCTTTTATATCACTCTGGCAATGTAAAGGAGCCTTAAACTGGATGTAAATTACAGGTCTGCCTAGACAGCAGCCATTCATTGCAGATTGAGCTGACATATCTGAGATAACTAGCCACAGTTAGGTTAGCCCTGTGAATCCCAGACCAGTGAAGTCACAGCTGGGCTAGTCCTGTGAGTAGTTACAGCATGCCGGGGTATGGGATGGCATGAGTTGACATAAGTTTTAAGTGGGGACCATGCCAGTGGCAGTTCAAAGGTTTTAAGAATACATGTAAAGTTAGTGATGCAAAGGAAGTGTATAGTGTATGTAGCACCCCAG